CCTCCTCCACTTCCCCTTACTCACCTATTCGTTCTTTATACCGACTATCAAATTCGATTCGTAGGAGTGTGCAATAATTTCTGTTCGCCACAAGATTCCTTGTTTAAATAGCGGGCAGGCAATGGGGTCCCGCCTCTATTCATCTCTTGTATCTTCGTCTGACACTCTGGTATTTTATTCCTGCTCCCCAATGGTAAAGTTGTGGATGGGATTGAACCATCGACGACTGGAGACATAGAGTAGACGACGCCCACTCTACTTTACTCGACCACAAACCTGTTGGAATTTTTACTGTGGAAATTATTACTTTGTGCATATTGGTGGAACCGGCAGATGTTTTCTGAATAAAAACTTTTCTTGACTCTTGTGTGCGGAGCTGTGAATGGATAAGAAAATTCTGTTTTGTTCGTTCAAGGACAATAATATTGTTGAGAGATTTCATTCTTTCTCGGAAGCGACGGTGATGTGTCAGTTGATAGTGTTCTGAAAGAGATTTTTATAAGGCCAGGTTGATGGGGAAGGAATAGACAATTGATATTGAACAAGTGTTAAGACAATAAATGCATATAATGTGTCCAATTGTGTTCCGAAAGAGATAGGGCCAGGTTTAAAGGAAAAAAATGGATAAAATTGAATATTGAACATCTGTTAAGACAAATGAAGGTGTGTCCAGTTGTGTTCAGAAAGAGATAAGGCCAGGTTTGAAAGAGAAAGATAAGACAATTGCTATTAAACAACTGTTCAGACAATTTAATGATGTCGTGTTTAAGTGCTGCTTATTTTAACGATGGGGGTTCCCGGATCATGTGGTGATTGCGTTGTGGAATCATCCGTTTCTGTTTCTGCTATTGTTCTTGGTCTGTGGTTAGTGTAAGAGTTAGAGTCATCACCCGTTGTTGTGAGGGGATGGTTCGGTCACAACCCTTTAGGTCAATGGTGGCTATGTACAGCTCTCCGCTGAGGCGCTTAGTGCTAGTGGTAAGTTGTCTAGTGCTAGTGGTAAGTTGTCTAGTGCTAGTGGTAAGTCGTCTAGTGCTAGTGTTGGTAAGTTGTGTAGTGCTAGGGGTAAGTTGTGTAGTGCTAGGGGTAAGTTGTGTAGTGCTTGGGTAGATTAAGTCATCCCGCTCTGGTTGATTATGGTTTGGTAGATGAAGTCATCCTCCTTTGGTAGATTATGGTTTTGTAGACTAAGTCATCCTACTTTGGTAGGTTATGGTTTTGTAGATTAAGTCATCCTCCTTTGGTAAGTTAAGTCGTCCTACTTTGGTAAATTAAGTCATTGGTAAGTCGTCCTACTTTGGTAGATTATGTTTTGGTAGATTAAGTCATCGTACTTTGTTAGATTATGCTTTGGTAGATGAAGTCATCGTACTTTGGTAGATTATGCTTTGGTAGATTAAGTCATCGTACTTTGGTAGATTATGCTTTGGTAGATTAAGTCATCGTACTTTGGTAGATTATAGTTTGGTAGATTAAGTCATCGTACTTTGGTAGATTAAGTCATCGTACTTTGGTAGATTAAGTCATCGTACTTTGGTAGATGAAGTCATCCTGTTTTGAAGTACCGTTGGTAGCCTAGTTGTCGAGCGACCGGTCTTGTAATCGTGAGATTGCAGGTTCAAGGGTTCAAGGGTTCGAGCCACAGCTCGGTCCGACGTTGTGTCCTTGGGAAAGGCACTCTACATACGAATTTCCCACTTAGCTTGGTCCATTCGGAGATGGACGTAAAACTGGAAGGTTCCGCCTCTTAACTAACCTAATAGTGTTGTTAGGGGCGTTAAAACTATACCATTTCACCATTAATTGTTCCTGGTTTTGAAGATTTTTCGCGGAGATGGGTCATCCTTCTTTGTGTTAGATTTATTGATGGAGTAAAAGGCGCGGGCTGGGGGCGATGGGGGAGTGATGGTGGTGGGATGG